AACTTGATTTACAAGAGAACTGTAAGTCATGTTAATAAATTCTGTTATTTTATTTATGTTGCTGTTTTCGTCATAAGCCACTTTCCATTCAACTGATTCTTAAGCTACTTGTAAAGAGTTTAATCCATTTTTTGATATGATCTGAAATAAGTTTCCCTCAAGACATTATGAGAAGTTGGGCATTTAATGATGAAAACGCTAGGGCCACTTGTTGAAAATAGTACCCCACTTATTAACCTCATACAGCAGTAATCGAAACAAACAAATTTGAACTCACATTCCTGCAAAGCAGTTAATGTATTATAGGACCTGGGACCCTGAGGGTTCACGTGATTATCTCCATTCTCATTCCCCTCGATATCCTTGTCTTTCTGAGCAGGAACGGCTTGGTAGTGATGCTGCTGTATCAAAACTCCCGTTGGACCTTTAGGAAATATATGCGTCCATCGCCTACGATTTGAGGTGAGTTTGATAGTGACGTGGGACGGGTCGAAAGGGTTTATCAGCGCCCTGGATTCTAAGGGAGGTGATCCCTCCGAGCCCACAACCATTCGGATTGGCGGGGACAATTCTTTTTCTGGAAATTAAAGAAAATATCTTGATTATTGATATTTCGAGACAAAAATGATGAGGTTGACAGTAGGAAAGTCTCATGACAAAGTTTCACACTCACCTTCGGGATAATGAGACCCAACAGGACTACTAGCTGTAGGAGGTATAGCGATTGGTTCGGAACGTGGATTTGAATTACTTCTAATCATTATATCTGGATCAGATAACTTTCTCCTCCTTTGACCTTTGATGATCTCTTGGGAGTCTAACAAACTACCCGAGGACCTTTTGTAGCGAGGAGGAATTCTATTGTGAAGCGAACTGAAATTGTTAAGGAAAGTTTCAATGGCATATCACAACATACGTAACTCTCGTCTTTTTTATTGTTTTTATTTTTTATTAAAAAATAACAACAGAGTACAGTTCAACAGTTAAGACACTATAAATATAAAATATGTTCTTATTCGCCCTAATCAGCAAAAATGCTGGTCTCGAGATTCACAAACATTCAACATGACAAGTGAAACACAAAAACTAGGGAACCACTCAAAGCTCATAGTATCAACGTATCAGGCATGTCCCTCAAGGCTCAGATGTTCTTTCAAACTATTGATGAATGAACTATAGCTCGGCAACTCACGTATAAGGACAGGTAATCCATTGAAGACTTTTATAGCCTGTGTAAAAGGATTACATTCATAATCCTTTTTTCGTTCTTACCATGCTCAGGTGTAAGTCATTTCTACCCCTTGTATTATACTCATAAAACTGGTTGTTGACTAGTAGATCATTGTTGCTTTTGATTCTTTTGTTTTTTATTTAATATATTTGAATTGAAGGGGTTATATTTTTAGGAGTGATTAATTTTTGGGAAAGAAAGTTTTTGGCTTTCTATTTATCACTCCATCTTTTTTTTTTGTATCAAGATGGAGTAGTAGAAAGCCAAAAACTTTCTTTCCCAAAAACTATATTAAATGTTCTCAGAAAATGCAAAAAATCGACGACATGCACAATGCCGGCAGTCACACTCACAAATAATTTGTAGAGTTAAGATTTTAAATTTTTCCTGAGGTCATTTTCTGTAAAAGTGACTGTGAAAAAGGTGCAAGCTCGTTTTGTAAATAAGTGTCCNCGGCTACAGCCATATAATAAGGTAGGAACACGTGATGGAAATGGCCAATATGAATGAAAATCCATGACGTATTCCATTAAGATTTTATTGTAAGATTTTCACTGAACACTTCACAAAAGTGTAATACTTGTTTTATTCAATACATGCACATACATGTTTTTTTTTTGTCTTCTAAAATTCGTTCCTTGAGGTAACATTCTGTTTATCCAATGTAGATGGCATTATCATTGAATTAAAATTATATCTGAGTAATGGTTTTGAGCTCAGGAAATTCCTTCTTGACAGCATTTTCATTTTTGAAAGCATTTTTATAGAGAAAAGTATCTTCTGTATAATTCAGTGTTCATATAGAAGTATTTGTTTCGAAAGAATTTTTTTCTTTCGTGTAATTCATAGTTTATATAAAAGTAGCTGTTTCAGGAGGACTTTCTTTCAGTTTGTGTCTGAAAGTTATTTCTTTGCATGATCTACACATCCATGTATAGAATTACTTATATTCAAATTGATTACTTCCTTCCATTCTTTGAAAAATTCACTCATCCTTTTTTTTTGTATCAAGATGGAGTAGTAGAAAACCAAAAACTTTCTTTCTCAAAAATTTTATATATGTTCTTGCATTGCTCAAGTTTAAGATGATGCTCGCTGAACCTCCACACTTAATTTGAATATGTTATAATGTACCCCGTAAACTTGTTACAAATTTTTACTGTTTATTTTATTTTATGGAAAACTTTGTACCTTGCACCTATTTGTTTTTCTGACTTGTCATAAATGTATTTTATAACATGATCAAATAAATATATCTATCTATCTATTTCTGGCAAAATACTCACCTAGTTTCTGTTGTGAGATGAGCAGGAGGCATCTGGAATATCTTCGCGTCAAAGGCATCATAATCGAAGAAAGTGCTGTGAATACATTCATCTTCGGGGTGAAGTTTTGTTCTGGGTGAATCTTTTTTGACTTCGGAGTCCGGTAAAGGTGGTGGCAATTTTATTCTCGGGATGAAATTGGAATAGGCGATTTTTTTATTCGTCGAGTAAAATGATAAATTGATCCAGTGCGGCATGGAGTAGTCATCTGGTATGTTTAGATGAGTATCTTTATTGTGAAACTGAAATATTTATATAATTGCTCATTTGGCTTGAAATGAATGGTTGATCATTAACATTTTTTGGTACTTTGCTTTATTTTTACATAATCAACAAAAAACATTTGAAGCTGTGCTGTACGAATTCATAATGGTAGTAATGCTCATTTTGGAATCAAAATATATGTGCAGATATGTGATGATATTTGCGGATACTTGGTGAAATTCTATGATAATATAATTTAAGTAACATTTTATTGTAAGATTTTCACTGAACACTTCACAAAAGTGTAATACTTGTTATATTCAATACATGTACATACATTTTTTTCTTTTGTCTTCAAAAATTCGTTCCTTGAGGTAACATTATGTTTATCCAATGTAGATGGCGTTATCATTGAATTAAAATTATATCTGAGTAATGGTTTTGAGCTTAGGAAATACCTTCCTGATAGCATTTTCATTTTTGAAAGCATTTTTTATGAATGAAATCTTCGCCAAAGAGAAATATGTATTAACTAGTAACAGATGTTTTCTACTTGTATGTTTCTTATACTCTGTCTTTATTTTTACTTCTTTTATTGACTATTCCTATACAATGTATATTGTCTACATGGAAAATAGAG